CCTGCAGTAGGGTATTGACATTTGTAATAGGAATTCTCATAAAATACATTTTTTTAATGTCCACCCCAACGTGTTTACTTTAGTTGATGTGGAAAGACAAAAATATTCTACAAAATTTAAAAGAGCTAAAGACAACAGACAGCCTGAACAACAGATGGCACATTCAGAAGACACTTGTATGTCAGTATCTGAACTCCGTGGAGCTTTCATAAAAGTAGAAGCATGCCCTAAGACTTCTAAAAGAAGTTATATATATATATATACATATACATATATATATATTCTACCCCTGAAGTCCCCTGTGTACATATTTTTAACCAAAGTATAAACCTACAAATAGATGTAGGTGTGTGCTAGACACAATAATAGATTCCAGTGTTTGGCACATTTGGTCCTTTAACCAACCACTTACCAGGGAATTTTTATCTTACCTACTTTTGATCTGTATCAACAAGACACTTCAAACTAGAATTACAGTATCAATTTACAACACATAGAGGTCTAAACCTCCTTGGCCAAGTAATAGCACCTTACTTGTTCAGATCACCAACAGAGAAATGTATTTGTCCAATTAAAAGAAGTGAAGGAGCCCTGCACCACCTACTCAGAAGACCAAACAAAGAGTCACTTCTCTTGCTGACCAGCCAAAGATTGTACTTATTAACTAGGACAATGCCTTAAAATGGCTTGGTTTATAACCTGAAAGACATTTTAAGGATTTAGAAAAATCGCCTGTGGTTGTGACTCCAAACAGCTGATTTCTCTCTCCAGAGAGCTATTTTTTCCACACAAGTTTCAATACTTTTTGAGATTATAAACTGCAAGACAGCAGCCACAGCAAGGAAGATGAATTACGAAGACAGACTACTGTAATTTGGCGTCAATAGCATAAGGCCTAAAAAAAATAACACAGTAAGTGCATTAAAAGTTCAGGAGATCCATGGGCAAAACAAAGTGCTTGTAGCAAACAAACTTCTATAAAATGCTACTGCTAAAAACAACAGCCTTGGGGAAAGCTTCAAAGACACCAAGTATGAACCCTGACAAGAAATGGCCAACCAATCAGGCCAATATCAATGGATTAAAACATCAAGGCACACATAAAAATGCAGAAAGAGCCTTAGAAATTTGTAACATCATTGCACAGTACTGACCCACAGGGTAAGTTTTGACTTTCTTGTTCAAAAAACATCTGCCACATAAAGACCAGACAGTACCTGCTTCACTTGGTACACCAACAAAATGCCCCTTCCAAAGAGATGCCACAGAGCCTTCCAACAGCAGATTAACTATTGCAATGAGACTGTGCATATCTGAGGGATATTTCAGACAGTACAAACTGCAGTGGAGAGGACAAAGTCTTATCCAACAGCCCAAATACCACCAATTTCTTTTAACCATACATCTTCTGGAATAACTCTGAGTTTTCGAGGCTGTTCTTCCACAAGTGCTAAGCCCGTTTCCCATCAATTCATTGCTCACAGTTATCTTCCTGATAAGGAGCAGCAGATTACAACTGGGTAAGGGGGTCCTACCCAAACAGTTACCCCATGGGGGAGCACAGACACTGGGTACTGTGCAAAGCTGGGCTATCAGATACCCAGAACTATATGTAAATACACATCCCTTTATTTCCCACCACTGTCTCACTAAAGGTTCATTCACAGGCATTTTGTTCGTATTTTATTTAATTAAAAAAGTTTTTACAGTAACCTGTTTCCACAGCTAACCTAAATCCAGCCTTTCCTTTGTTCCCTCTTGTGCACTTCACTCTGAGCTCAGGTTTTCCCAAAATGTCTTCCCTTGAGGAACCGAACTGTGGCCTTCCCACGCTCACTTCACATCTTTATCCCTCAGCCACTTCTCTCCACTGCCCAAATAAGCCCATCTCAAAGCCCTGCACTCAGTGGGCATTACAGCTATTTATGCCTTGGAGAAAGGCCATGCCTAGAAACCAAGCCATAGAAACAGTGTTATTCCCTCTTATCTACCAAAAAGTAACTCTCTGATGTTCTCCACTGAGAAAGACTTTTACAGAAGGACAAAGCTTTGTTCTTCATGTCCCCTACCAGGTGAGAAAAGGTTTGTAACTCTTTTTTCCTGTTACCTTCTGGGAGTTTTGACGCAAAACTTCACAAAGCTTTAAATGACTAACTCTGTGTGAAACAGGACACAGAGAGAGGACAAAAACGTCAGGATCACCTGCAGGGACAATCAGTCAGGGAAAATGTTTTTCAGTGACCTCTCCTGAAGAGCAGGGCAGAAAAAGATGAGTTTCAGGTGAGTGGTAGGTCACTCCAGAAGGGGACAGTAGGCAAAAGGTCCAAGGAGCTTCCTCCCTTGAAACCTAATCAGCTCCAGGTTTGAAGATACACCATATAAAATCATCCTGAAAGCACAACTTCACCATTTGACTAGAACCAGCACTTTCCTACTTGCTGTGAAATTCTACTGCAGCACGTATCTTCATTTCTAGACAGAGTGTGGTGGCAGAACTCTGAAAGAGAATCAAAGCTTAACAAATATAAGTTTTTCATGGCAGCAATTCTACCCTGTACAAGGAGAGGCTGTTTTCAGGTTCTCACTTTACAAGGAAGCAGTGATTTTAGAAAGTTTGGAGAACGGATGAAGAGGCAATGAAATGAATACTTTAAAGCAAAATGGGAAAATATGTCTGAGCTAGAGCAGCTCAAAATTCCTGATTTTTAGCTTCACAAATTGCTGTTTCTCCCAGTCTTATCCCTAGGATGGAAGAAACCAAGAGGATATTAAAAGTCCATGTGCTTACTGAAACTTCTAAAAACATACTCTACTTTGTATTAATAAATATTTTCATGAAGTCTGAAAGTTTATTTGCAGTGAAAGGGACCGATCCTCTGAAACAATAAACATCTGATCTTCCCATGGAAGTGACTGACTTGTACTCCAGTGCCTCAGAACTCTCACTCTGAACCATACAATCACCCTCTATCACAACCCAGCAGTATCTTTAGCTCCTATAAATTAAAAATAGCCTGAACAGAAATAAAAGTCTTGATGCCTGCACCTATACTATTTACTTCGTAGTGAAGGATTTCATTTTGCTGCCCACAGAGCCAACATCTTCCTTTTTAACTCAGCAGAAACTTTGCCAGCTACACTACTCACTGCCCACACATAAATTTTTTGGCCGCTAATGTTTTCACCAGTAAATAAATCAATCAGGAATATGGAGAATACAGGGCTGCTTTTTTGGCCACAAGAAAATAAAAAAAATAAAAATAATAAAATGCTGCTGGAGCAGAACCCATTATGAACTGCAAGACAATATACAGTCCAAAAGTTACATCAGAGTATTCTCAGTTCTGCCAAATGCATCTTTACTGAGATTGTTCAGTGAAAAGAAGGTGATGTATCATGCAATTATTTGAAGTGTACCAAATATTTCTACAGTAGGTCTTGGTTTTGCAACTGTAACAGTAAAATATTACACACATATTGCCATCTCATGGATACTACAACACTTGTTTAAAATTCCAAGAACCCTAACAGAAAAAATATGCAGAATCCACAGCAAGTAAAATCGTAAAGATTCACAACGTGAAAGCAGGAATTCACATTTGAAACAGTCCAAAAATCTGCCTCAGATTCTCCCGTAGTAGTTACTATTTTTATGACTTGGCTCAGACTTGCTTTAATCTCTTTATTTAGGGAGAATCTGCAAGCTTGCCAACTCTAGCAAACGTTAAGTACTTTAGTAAATTCCCCATCAAAATAGGTCGTGCATTCGAGGGAACAAGGATGTGGTAAGTTCTGCTCCATCTCCTCCAAAGGGGATTTCGGAGTAAGGCAGCGATGGGAGAGAGAGATAAACAACGTGGCTAAGCCCCTCTTTCAGCTCCATCCTCCTCTCCAGACATCTGTCCACACTTTGTTGTGCCGTGATTGAGATGTTACGTGATGCAGCTCGCCCAGCCTGCCGTTATCCTACATCCCTTTTATCTGAGCAAGCAGGAGAGCACATGTATTGCCAATGCTATTGCGTCGTCACTCTTCCATTAAAGTTCAGTAACAGCACGAAGCGAGTCCAAGCAAGTCAGCAAAACCATCGGAAACCCAATAGATGTCAAGATATCTAAGTATGGAGGATGAATACAGAAACAGTTCGAGCAGCCTGTGCACACTTTCCGGAGCATCTAGCCGAACTGCCTAAAGCCACCAAGTCCTGTCAAACCCCGAGGTTTGCTTTCAAAAAAACTTGGCAGCCGACAAACAGAAACCTGTATCGTTTCTGAAGCTGTGCTCGAACAAACGCATCTCTCTACCCAAGGGGCTCGGACAAGCAAGTAAACAAGTTTCGGGTCCTTCCCGCACTTCCCCGGGCAGGACCTCCGGCTGTCCCCGCACCGGGGGGACACGGCGGGGAGTCACGGAGGGGGACACGGTACGGAGCCCCCCCCGCCGAGGGATGCCCTCCGCTGAGCAGCGGCCGCCTCTCCCCGACCTCCCCCAGGCTGCGGAGCCCCAGCCCTGCAGCTCCCCGCCCAGAAGGGTCCCCGGGCTCTCCCTCCGCAGGCAGCCCCACCCCGGCGGCTCTGCGGGGACACCCCGCACCTGCCCCGGGGAGGCGGCGGGCGGGAGCGCAGCGCGTCCCCGCGGCGGCAAAGCCCGGGCGGGCGGCCCCCGGCTCCCGCTAGCCCGAGCCGCCGCTGTGAGCAGGAGGAGGAGGAGGGAAGGGGGAGGCAAGGGAAGAAGGCCATTACCAGAGTTTTGTTCCCGTTCTTGCTGAGGGGGCCGCGGAAAACTCCCTTGATGTTGCGAAAGTGCCCGTTGCTGAGGTGCGCGGAGCTGATGACAATGTAGTAGCACTCCATGGGGCCGGGGCCGCCTCCTCAGGCCGGGCTCGGCGGGGCCGGGCGGGGAGGGCCGGGGCCGGCGCTGCCGGGGCCGGCGGCGGGGCGGGGGGTGCGGCCCCTCAGGCGCGGCGCGGCCGCGGGAGGAGGAGGAGGAGGATGCGCGGCGGGGCGGCCGCGGCGGAGCCGAGCGAGCTGCCGCCGCCGCTGGCAGGCATAGTGCTATTATAGCGAGCAGCCTTGCCGGTCGGCTGCACTGAGCCAATGGCAGGGAGCCACTGGGCTGGTACCGAGCGCTGTCAGAGGAGGACATCTGTCACACGCCGCCTCCACCGCCACCCACCGCCCCACGCCCCGCTGCCCCCGCCGCGGACGGGCCGGCGGCAGGTAAAGGGGGACGGGCGGGGCGAGAGGGCAGAGCCGGCACCCCAACCCAGCGAGCTGCGAAGGTGGGGTGTGCCCTCCTTTTTCCGGGGGTGGGGACGACGACGAGTGTGGTTTTCCTCCGGGATTGGGGAGGAGGGGGGGACGTGGAGAGATGCTGGGGGTGCAACGCCCCCAGCCCAGCGGTCCTGCCCCTCGAATCCCCCTTCCTCCGAGCAGCCCCCGCGCCCGTTTTTTTTTTTAATTCCATATTTCTCTACCACCTAACTCACAGGCACTTCCACCTGCCCGGGGCGGAGCAGCCCCCTCGGTCCCCGGGACCGATGGATCGCCGCTTCCGCCCGCCGCTCTCGGCTCCAGCGGCCCGTGACGGCGTAATTGGGTGAAATCGGTCATTTCTCATCCCCGCTCGGGCTAAGCTCCATCCCGCCCTTTGCTGGGCTGCGGCGGCCGCAGCCCATTCCCAGCGCATCCCGCCCGACGAAGCTGCAGGATCAGAAGCGGGCTGGCAAAACTTCTGGGTCACGGCATCGGGAAGCGCCGGGGCGGCATCCTCCCCTTCCCGGGGCGTCCTTATCCCTCCCTCCTGGGGTGCCGCATCCCCCCCGGGCCGCCCGCGTCCTCCCCCGCGGTTACTCACGGCTCTCCCGGCCCGGGGCCGCCGGCGGAGGCGGCTCTGCCCGCCCGGCCTCGCAGGGCCTGGGCGGCTGCAGGGAAAAGGAGACCCACCATGGTTTCTTGCAGGCTCTGGCGCTGCCTCTGCGATCCTCACCCTCAGCCTTAACGCCCGTATAACGTACTCGCTCCGTTCTATAAAGCCCCCAGCAAACTGTGGATTAAAAACCATTAGGTACATCAGCATGAGGCAGCTGTAGCATACCCGTGCTCCTGCACCAGCACAAGTGCTTCTTTTTGCAGCTCACAAATTGGAGCTCGCTGCCAGGAACAGAATTTGTCACAGTATAAGACGTGCTCAAGAAAGAAAGATGCTCAAGTGTGGTTTGTTGTTTCTGGTGTTTGTTTTTCTGGTGGGTTTTTTTTCCCCATAACGTATCTATGATTTGCAGCTTTATCACGTAAGGCGTGAAACACTCTTACAGCTGCCTCGTCTTCCAACATGCTTTACCCTTTATTCTGGGTTGTAAAAATCAAGACTGATGGGGTGAAATTCCAGTGCCAAAAGAGGGAACACCTTAGAAAAGAAGCCCAGAACCATGATGTAACATCTGAAAATGTCTTTTAGTCAGCATTTACTCCTGGTAACATAAAACCACCATCCTGTCATCCTGCCCTCCAAAATAAAGGAGCTGCTGCCAGAAAATTTGGGATGGGGGACGCACACAAACACTTTCCTGGCAGAAATTACTCTCTCCTGATGAAGCAACGAGCAGGTTTTTGAGAGGTACCTTCTTCTGATAAGCATTTTCTATCATTACTTCCCTTTGTACACAGTGAATTGTAAATTTTGACAGCTGTCACTCATCCATCAGCATTTCCAGTACTTAGGAAGGAATTACAGGAATGGCAAAAGTGGTAAGTTTTGACAGCTAAGACACAGGTGAGAGATCAGAATTTGCTGCTCTTGTTACAGCCAAAAAAGGTGTCATAATGTACACGCACAGTAATACTATTTTTCTGGTTATGAGCGTGTATGGGTACATCTAGAAATAACCAGCAAGTTCGTTACCATGCAAAAATGAAGTCAATATTATAAAAAAATCTGATAAATTTAACAACACAGCACACTTAAGGCCTGGTTCCTATTTCAGACAGGATCACAGGTACTGTTCTCTCTCAAAAAATGTCAGAATTTAAGGCAGCATAGACTAACGAAAAGCATGAAATTCTTATGCATGAAATATTATTATGCAAGAAATAAAATTAGGCAACGCTTTTCTGTGAATAAATATATTCCAACTTGGACTAGAAACATTTTTTCCACCTTCTAAATATAACATTACTGATATGTGAGGACCCTTCTGCCTGGGGTCCTTCAAAAACTTTTTGAAGAACTGGAACCTTTTTCTCTCAAATCCTTGCATTGACACGCTGCTGACATGTTTTGTCACACCTGCTACAGCCATACCTGGGCCCTTTCAGGGTTGTAGATGCAGAGATAGAGAGAGCTGCTGGCTGGCCTTTCAGAGGTGTGCAGGTGTGCGCTGCTTGCACGCTCTTTTTAGAGTCCAAGAACTTGGGAACATGTTATTGTAGCAACAGAGAAATTATCTACTCCTGTAGCTCAAGTTTTAAAGGCTCAACCTGCTTTATAACAAACAGGAGTGACTGAAACAGCTTTAAAAGCTGTTAAAGCTTCTGCTAATGAAGATTATTGGCCTCCTCTATTAAAGGAGGAAAAAAACCAACAACTAAAGACCACTTGATTCCTCCAAAGCACTCAATAAACAAATGACTAGCAGTACTAAATAGCACCTATATACATTTTCTACTCCTACCTCTTTATTATTATTTTTTTTGGCTGATCTTCTCTGATACTTTGCTATCTTAATTTTTCACTGAAGTTTTCCTGCCTCATTCTGTTTCTCTGTTATGATCACACAGGCTCAAGATACTGCTTCCTTCCCACACCTTTTATTTGTAATAAATTGCTAATTTCATCAATCCCTAAACCCCATGGATCCTACATACCATTAGTCCTACCTATTTCAGTCTTTGTCCTGTTCCTCTGGGTAAACATCTGGAGTTTCAACTGTGTGTATTACTATTTATTCGCATCTCTGCCAAATAATAATAATAACCAGTGCTGCTTATTTACTCCTTCTCATGTTCTCCTTGATACTTCTTATTTGGAAGAAACCTCCCAGGAGTTGTTCCTGTATACAACTGCAAATACTAACTCAAGAAAGAGGCTATGGATTTGAGACACTTTCTGGAAAACTTCTGAACTAGAAGCCAGTGAACAAATTACACTAATTCACATATATTGTGCTGTTTTTCTGCTTCTGACAATACTCAGTATTCTGCATTCTAATATTTAATATTAATCGTTCAAGAAATAGCCCTGGCATAACCCAGAAAAAAATATTCTACTGTATAAACAAACCCCTTTTGCTTAACAGTCTTTAAAGAGTGGCACAGAGTATGTGTTACCAAGCAAACATATCCTGAGAAATCATTCACACTCTACTGAGACATTTCCATCAAGGATAGAAAGGAGTATATCTGTGCTGTAAGTCACAAAAAACTCAATTAAGCTCCCACAGCAATTCTTATTGAATTCAAGAAAATTCAGTTTATCCTAAGAATATCTCCCTTAACAAATCTGCTGTCTGAGACACACCTTTTTACCGTCTCCTGCCCTTTTAGTCTCCTTGTATCGCTCTTTTTTTCCCCTTTACCCTTAGCCTTGGATGTTTTTCCCTATTTCTGATGTCTGTCATCCTTGCACTAAGCGGAAGGAAAACCAGGAGTGTCCTACGTACCTTTGAAAGGCCATTATGGTGTAATACACATTATACACTGTATTACAACTGCATTCATTCATCAGCTATGGGGGTGGCACAGCTAGAAAAAGGGGAAACTGGGACAGCCTGGTAGCCTAGTTCCTCAGCACATCCCTCCCTGCATGTGAAGAGGATCAGAGTGGGTTCCCTGTTTCAACACTTGAGCTGAGTGGAGCTCTGGAATCACAAAGCTGAGGGAAGGCAGTAGTGACAAAGCCCTGCAGCACGCAGTCAAACCGTGGGCTGTAGCCTGCAGCCCTCCAAATTTTGTCACAGGAGGAGGACTGTCAAGGCTTAAACCGGTGTTCCTGCTCGATCTCAAAAGTAGCAACAAAGATTTATTAAAACATACAGTATTTTTTTTTTCTCAGCTTTGGTCATGCAGCGTTCCAAAGCACATAATTTTAGATCACAGCTCGTTCAGAACAGCTCCGGGAAGAAACTGTCCAGCAAGAATTACCCCCTCCCTCTTTTCACATGTCCACCTAGCACCTGTATTGAGCACCACATTCCTGTGTTAAGAAATGCAAACACTTTTCTGCCACTTCTCTTTCAGATTACCAAACTACCATTGTCTGATTTAGGATACTATTGGGAAAAACTTCCTGTGGTTATTGAATCAAATACACCTTTCTCTGTATCTACTTTTCTTAATGTTCCTGCTGCGTAATTTCCCCGACAACTCATGCACGCCGCGTTTCTTTTTTCTGCCCTAATCCCTTCCTAACAAAAAACCCAAAACAACCAAAAATTTCAAATAAATTCACAGATGACACACTGAATGAGGCGACATCAACAAGTCACTGATGTACCACAAAGCATTAACTAGCGTGAGACTTAAAAAGGCCAGAAAACACCTGATGATCCAGCCAAGGCAAAAGAACCCTCTGCTAAAGCAACTCTTGCCCCTTTTAAACACTGAAAATGCAATACATTCTGCTATTTTAAACACTGCCTCAGGAGCCTCTATCACACAGAATGGCTCTACATGGAAAGAAAATGGAGCCAGCAACTGGTAAGTGAATCTCGAGAACTGTCTGTGATGGAATTATAGTTTTCCAGTATCCATGCAAACCCAACATCCAAGTCAAAACCAAACAGAATAAATGAAATTATGAAAAATCATAAGAAAAAAATTGGGTGTTATGATCTCATCAAAGACAATGACTCCATCTCTAGTGGAAGGTGTCCCTGCCTGGAGGGGGGGTGTATCTTTAAATGGTCTTTTTTAGGTGGTCTTTAAGGTCCCTTCCAACCCAAACCATTCCAAGATTTTTCACAGCTGACTGCTGTAGAAAATCCTCCTTAGCTTCACTTCTCTAACAATGTAGCAAAACGGTACAAGGAACAATCTTTCAGTGACGACACAAAAAAAATTCAGTAAAAAAAAATAAAAATACACCCTTTCATATATCAAAAAGCAAAAGCAGAAAGACCACAGAATGGGTGTGCTTGCACAGAGCCACCAGCCAAAGCTCCCTAAAATCCAGGAAACAAGTTACATAGCTAGCACTGCATTAAAGACAACACCACCTTAACTCCATAAACAATATCCAAAGAGATTTCAAGCAGCCATTCAGTGTCTGGTACTTTTCTGGAAAGGGAGCTGAGTACGTAATGAGCACCAACTTTCCATTTCTACCCGTTAAAGTTTTCTACTTAATTTTATCTCATCAAAACTTGCTTTGTTAAAGGATATAACGCTCAAAGATCCTTAAAAAATGAAAGGCTTTTAATAAAGTAAATGAGGCATTAAGAGAAAAGCTGATAAACAAAAGCAAATGCTGGAATAAATGGGAAAACAGCACATTTTGAGATCCACGATAGCAGATGAATTGTGGCCCTTTATGAGAAATAGATTATTTTCCTTGTCCACAGAACTTTTTTGAGAGTTAAAAGATCTGGAGTCTAAAGAATTGATTAAAAGTCTTCCACAGTCAATAAGACACTTCACCTTCAGTGAGCTTGGGCTCATTTACTGAAACAGAAGTCCTGAAGTTCATACCAGGGCTTGGCGTTAGCTCCAAGCTTTTCCACTGAGTGGTGGTAATGAGATGGAGAAGTTCAGGAGAGCTGGTAGCAGAACTCAGACCGCCACCAGTATTCACTCATTCATGTTTTAATTAATTCCATCTCTCCCTCTGTACACACAGGTATTTCTGTGTGTGTGGGAACACTTATACCCACCCTATGTGTACGTGTGCCACACCAGAAATCCAGTGTCACGTTAATCAAAGAAGACATAGAATAGTTTCTGAAAATCTATCAAGGGATGAAAAAAAATTAGAGACCCACTGGAGGAAAAAACGCCTCCAGTGATTACTATTTTAATATATTTCATTGCGTTCAATATACGACATGTTATGATGTCCTCCTTTTTCATGTGATCTCTAATAGTCACAGAAAAGAATGGAAATTAAAGTAAAAATGATGTGTTTACTTTACCAACGTTACACATTTCAGTGAGACCCATTTTTCAGAATGGGAATATTTGGCATCATCTGAAAATCAACCCCCTTTACAATATTTATGGCTACGACCTCCCAGTTTAAGACACCATAAATCACATCAGACATTAACTGGTTCACATTCACAGGGCACTTGTTCTAACAGTACCAAAACACGGCAGAATATTAAGCACACACTGGGGAAGGATATTTCCAATATTGTGGAATACAAGGCTTTGCCATGTACAGTTTAGATGGCACTACTTGCACCACAGCTTATATAGGAACAGGTAATAATTATACACGTGGGTAATCACAGAGTTTGTTCAGACTTCCAGCAGCAGTGACACTGGTGATGACAGTGACTGGTGACCAGTGACAGGACCTGAGGAAATGGCATGGACCTGTGCCAGGGGAGGTTCAGGTTGGCTATTAGGAAAAGGTTCTTCACCCATAGGGTGGTCAGGCACTGGAACAGGCTCTCCAGGGCAGTGCCAAGACTGGCAGAGTTTAAAAGGCATTTGGACAACACTCTCATGGGCAGGGTGGGGTTCTTGGGGCTGTTGTATGCAGGGGCCAGGAGCTGGACTTTGATGATCCCAGTGTGTCCCTTCCAGCTCAGGGTACTCTGTGACAACTTAGGCAGTCCCAGCTTTACCTCGTGGCTCCGGGGCATTAGAGGACACACCACACAACGACATCAACAACATCACAAGACTTGCTTTGGAAAATGAAACAAGATGCAGAGGTTGTCAGAGCCTCATGTTTACATTGGTTTACTGTTCTGCACCCAAGCTTTGCCTCCTGATTTTATCTCAGTAGACTTCTATGGTTAATTTATCTTTTTTACACCTTAAAGTGGCTATAGAACTCCTTGCAGGAATATGTACGAGCTACACAAGAATAATTTTAAAACCACACAATTTTTATGACTTATGATTTAAATACTGGTAGATTCATGTAGTACAGTAATAGTCTAAAGGTACTTATTATGGTCCTCCTGAATGATGCTTGACACTATCACTGTCTGAAAGGCCCTGTCTGTTCATTAGAACAATTATTTTTTTTCCTGAATAACTAATGACTTATCAATGTGTCTGCTGTAGCGAAAGAATACAATTACAAATAGGCCCATTAAAATACTATCAAAAGAATTTAATCCAACTTTCAAAATATTAATAACTTGTGTGCTTAATTAAAGATAACCATATCAAAATAGCCTTGAGTACATTATAGTTTACTGGGCTGAAAACAAATCATTAGAAGGAATAAAGTCAGTATTACTCTAAAAATAGGGAGGATTTCCAAAGCCCAGCATATCTGTTTTGGCATTTTAACAATTAAAAAATGTCTACATAATTCATTTGATTAAGTAAAAACTTACTCATTAGCTCAAGCTACGTAAATCATGCTGAGTTTCACCAAATGTACATTTCCTTGAGTATCTGTAAAACCTGTGTAATCAGAAGACAAGGCAAAATACTATTAATAGCAATATCAAGACAACTGCCATGGGTAAGCTACACTTTGGCAGCAACATGAGCAGTTGTTTCTTCATCCAGTTTTTGAGTTGCCTTGGAGTTATATTGCTCTTGTATTGGTTAACTCTGAATTAAAAATCCTTGTCTCCAAGATGGGAGGATGAAGTACCATTACTATCAATGACTACATGTTAATTTAATTAAAATTCTGACCTAATTTACTTATTATTAGAGTGGAAAAAGGTACTTCCAAGATTTTTCTGCTCTACAGCTATGTTCACATGGCCCTGCAGATCAGCAATTCTTTGTGATGATTACATGGATAGGGTCATCAAAAATAAACCTCTAGTTTTAAAAGACCATCTTCCACTTTTTTCTTTGCATAATCA